TTATGGATTGTAATCTACTATACCAAATGTAGCCGGGCCTATTCACACTATACAATTATAGCACTATGATTACACTTTAAATGCCATGAAAATAACCTATGAAATCCTGGGAGTCACAGTTTAAGGGGGATCGTTTAACACATTCAGCCAGAGGCTCCATGCCTCACTAAACAACATAAACTACAAACCCCAGGATTCTATAGGATGGAACCATGAAAATCAAAGTGGAATAACAGTGCTATCATTGTGTGAATGGGCCACAAGAGTGCAGTCTTAGAGTTTCAGGATTATCTACAGCACACATGCTTGAATAATGAGTATGATGCAGATGGTGAGACAGAACAAAACTGAAATACAGAATTACAAGCTGTGACAATTACCTTGAGCCAGACATCCTGGCACTAGGTAGTGTGATAAGGATCTGTTTACCTGAGTGATACAAAATTCTGATGAAATGTTGGTGCTTTCTAGAAAAAAAATGTTTCTCACTCTCTTTCCCTCCTTTAATTTCCCTCACAATAAATCAATAAAAAGTCCAATTTTCAAACGAGTGGCACTTAAAGCAAATAGTTGTGCCTGTATTAAAACAGTTTCATTTAGGCCAGAACCTTCATCTTTGGGCAGATATTGTGATCAATTCTTGCCAATTACCTTAAAAATAATCCTGTTCCTAAACTTTAGACCTCTCTGAAAACCCCTTCCTCTTCAGGCAAATGCAAAAGTTTGTTCCAGGGCCCATTCAGGTAACATTGGCCTGTTATAAGTGGATAATATAGCCAAGCCCCACTTTTGGAGTGAGAATGCTACTCATCTAAGGTACATTGATAATTGAGGCATAGTAGATAGGATAGAAGAAAAGCAGCCTTGGACACAGAAGGAGGAGGAGTGAAAACAGGAGGAAAGAATATCAATCATCTAAGATATGCAGATAACACTGTAGTACTAGCAGAAAACCTTGCAGACCTGGAACTAAGGAAGATCAAAGAAGAAAGTGCTAAGGCAGGCTTAACATTGAACATAAATAAAACATAAAATCAAGGACCTTCACAAGTTCAACATAGACAATGAAGAAATAGAAATAGTAAAAGAATTCTCATACCTGGGATCAAATATTGATAGAAATGGTAACTGCAGTCAAGGAAATCAGAAGATTACAAATGGGGAAGATGGCTATGAAAGAATTAGAAAAGATTCTAAAATGCAAAGATAT